TCCTATGCTCTATCCTCGTTTGCACTAACTAGAAAAACGTTGGGTCACGAAGCGATGGATTTTTCTTTAAATTTTTCCTTCTCTTAGGGTTTATTTCGAGAGAAGAAGAGGAGAGAAAGAAAAAAAAAAGAGAAGAAAAAACGGAATACATAAGAGAGAGATAGAAAAAAGTGGGACTGTTTGTTTTGGAGAGAGAAAGGAGAGAAGAAGAAGAAAAAAGAAGAAACGGAAGAGATATAGGAAAGAGAGAGAAACAAGTGGGAACGGTTAAGAAGAGTAGGAATAATAAAAAAAAAGAAACGGGAAATCAGTTGTTTGCCTGTTCCAAAAGGAGTAAAACTGGAAACAAAAAAGGTAGATTTGCTTTAATAATATAGAGGTGTCTTAATGTAAATAATTTTTTAAAATAGATAGGAGGTGTCATTAATTCCCTCAAATTACAATTCTCAGCCCAAAAAAAAAACCATGTGGGGATAATGTTTTTGAGGGGCATTGGGGGTATTTTTGAGAGATTTTTTCTGGTGAAGTAGTAGCCGTCCCAAGAGGCCCGAGGCTCATCGAACGACTGGGTGTCGGGGGTCCGGGTGACGAGTGTCGTCGTCGGCGGGCCTGATTTCGTCATCCCTGTCGGTGTAATCGTCTGGCGGGTGGGTTGTAATTTCGTCAAGATGGCGGGTCCTTGAAATCCTCTTTGATTTCAATTTCTTCCGAACCGGTTTATTTGCTATGTGAGATTCGATTGGTTTTGAGTTGCTGATTTGGAGGTTTGGTGGGAGGAGGAGGAAGCGGCGGTGGGGATGGGCCAATTGGAAGTTGTGGCGTGGTTTTGCTCCATTCGTCGAGGGAAAACAACAAGCAGAGAGTTTTTTAGGCTGAGATATTTGTGATAATTTGGAGCTCGACAAATGTTATGCCCATGTGTTTTTTTTTTTGATAATTTTTTAATTGATTTTTTTTGCCACGTCTACGTTTTGCAATGCCATGCCTGCGGAAAATGGACCTAAACTCGTCACTTGCGGGTCACGTGTGAATTCCAACCACAATATTGACTTTTGTGTACCGGAACGATTAAATTGCGTTAACTTTTTAAATTACAGGACTAAATTGAAAAATGCTCCGATCCAAGGACTAAAATTGCCACAAGTCCAAAGCAGCACGACCAAAATTGTAATTTTGCTCAAGTAAAAATAAAATTTGCCACAGGTCCAAGTTAGATGACAAAAAAATAAAACTTGCCACGTAAGATTGCAAAGAATGCGAGTCTGTCACTTACACTCAACCTATTCGAAAATTATATTATAATCAAAAACTATATTTAACCAACTTAATTATCGATTCTTAAAATTTTACTTAAAGAATAAAACCAACACCATATCCCTAATTTTTCCTCAGATGGCTGTATATTAGCTGTCAAATAAATTAAATTCATTTTCTTTTATTTTATTGTATATTTTCTTTCTCTTCCTTTTTCTTTCCACATCACTATCTTTTCGCATCATACTTCAGACAAATCACACTATAAAATAAACTTTTGAAAACAACCTCCAAACCCCTCCCTTCACACTTTCCCCCTTCAGCCTTCTCTCCCTGTTTTTACTCTTCACTCACTATTTATTGTAACAAATCCATTAATTGTGCGGACTGTGTGTGAAAGCATGTAAAATGCAGCATTGACATAGAGATACAAGCAGAGTAAGGTACCATTTTTTTCCCAATTTATTTCATCAAACGTTTTGCTCTGTCCTTATATTTGCATAAATAACGAGGCCCCTTTAAGATAGAGAGGGAAAGGGAAGGGTTTCTTTCGAATAGCTGTTTTAAGGAAATCATAAGGTGGGCTCTGATTTTTAATCCAAAAGTCGAGTTTTTCTTGCTGTTTTTTGGATTCTTGAACTTGAAGCGGATTTTGAAGACCAAAATTTTGAATGTTATGGTATTATTGTTGTTTATATTTTGGACTGATTGATTCTGGGTTTTTTGCTGTAGTCTGTAGAGCGTGAGATGGCTCTCACTTCATCTATTCTATTATACCATTCTTAATATTTTTATTCACTTGCGATAGGCTTTATCGAACCTTTTAGTGAGATTATCAGGAAAATTTCATCTCTGCTTGCAAAGTTCTTTTGTTCTTTAACTAATTTGGCCTGTTTGTGAGATTATGGCTTTTGCTCTAGTGGTGTTTGTCAGCCTTGATGGTACCTTCATGTTGTGAACAATTAAAGCTGGATTGTACTTCGGTCATTCGTATTTCACATATTCTCTAGGAATGAATTAAGCCTTGTCGAGTTTTCCCAGCTTTGACTTGTGGCTAATTGTTCTATAATAATTTCACATATTTTTTGTTTTAGTATTTGATTGTACCATTTTTAATGGAAGTTGACCTACTGTAGCTCTATATATACATCATTAAGCTCATGAGAAGAGAATAGAATTCATTCTCACGTGATACACGCCTCTCTCTCTAGATCTCATTCGAGCTTTATCTTCTTCTTGTTGCTCCACTGGTACAAGTTGAAGAAGGGTGTATTGAGTAATACAGTAGAAGATCTGTAGGTGAACCGAGACGAAATTGATTTTGACCTACAGAACTAACCGGAAGTCCGATTGAGACGTACAGTATACCCAGACGACCGTCTCGACGAGAGCTTTCCATCGCCGCCGACGTCGCCGGAATCCGACGCCGCACGCGCCCTCACGCGCCGCCGGAAGGAGTCTGGCAGCAAAATTTCGTTTTGATCTGTTTGCATCCGTTTGATCCAGTTTTGATCTGATCTTGTTCGTGCAACCCAAGACGCGTGTTGCGGTCAATCAATTGCGGTCAACCGTTCGTGGTCAACCAGATCTACATAAATTTTAAGCCGTAAGTTCTCTACGTCAAACCTTTAGATCCGCTGCGCATAGGTTTACGTTTGCTATTGAATTCGTGATTTGTACATAACGAGATCCTCACAGATCCCAACACTTACGGGTTAAGAGAACGCAGTAATTAACCGAGGCCTAGTTCATTTACGACGATCAGTATAAAATGAACTTCTCCTCTCTGGGATCCTGTTCAATACATAAATGTACTAGTGCAACTAATCAGTCAAGACAAACTGTACAGTTGACACTACAACCGTTCGGATGGGGTGTTCATGTCCATCTAGGTTGTGAACAACTATTCTTGTTCGCAAGTGACTGACAGAGTGATCTTCGGTTCGCCCGATGACGACCCACCCTATCTAAGTGCAGAACAACAGAACGTAGAACTTGTTTAATCTAACATGATTCTCATTCATAAAGGGTAAATGTGTAATAACATGCAAAGCCAAGCTTTCAGTATATAACACTAACAATAAGTCACCCAATAATTGGCCCAATCATATAGCCAAAGGGTATCGTGATTCATTCACTCCAAGACACGTCGTCCGTGAACAAGTCTCGAGGGGGCATTTGTAGAGACATAAAATTTGTGGCCAATCAAATGGCGCCACGTGGAAATTAATTTATTAAAAATCAAGTCATATTTTCTATTTATATTTTAGGAATTTTCATATATTTAATTCCTAATTTTAAATAGTTAATTAATTGATATTTTAATATTTTAATTCTTGACCAATCAAATAATGCCAAGTGTCAAATCTTATTTCTTGAAAAATAAATCATATCTTCTAGAATATCTTGGAAGATTTAAGTGGATCTAGAAGATCTTATGTTAATCATCATGGACCAATCAAATCGCGTCCTACGATTTTTAATTTTGGTAGGGTTTTCCCTCCTACACCTATAAATAAGGGCTCTCCCTAATGTCAAAAACACATATCATAATTCATATTCAAAGTTCAAGAGCTCTAGAGAATTCTCTCGACGAGATTCAAGTGTTCTTGAAGATTCAAGAAAGATTCAAGCGCGTTCAACCTCAAGATTGGCGTTAAATCCGGAAACAAGCTGCAAAGCCTCCGAATAACGTTAGTAAATTCAAAACCGGCGTAGAGAAAAGATCTACTTTGCGACGAAGACCAAGGATCCGTGTTCTTCGCGTTCTTGGGATATTTCGACGTTTGATCCGAAATCAACGCGTTGGCCCTCGGATTAACGTTAATTCAAGTCAAATCAAGTCAAGGAGAAGATCAAGCCGAAGATTTCGCTCCAAAACTTAAAATTGTTCGTGAGAAGAATCAGAGGAGAAAATAGAGATTGTAACCCGCTATATTTATTTTAATTCGAGAAATTTATTTGAATAATATTTTTCGTGTTTATAAATTCAATACACGAAATTTGTTGTTACACCATGTTCAATGACAGAGCTCCATACAAGAACTCACAACAAAGCATTGAAGAAGAAACAAAGAAAGAAAAATTGGGGAAGAAATCTCCATTTGTAACACGTGAGGAAATGATGTGTTCTGTTACAAGTATTATATTCTCCTCCTCTTTTATATTATAGCAAATGTAAAAAATGACTAAAAAGCCCTTGGGCAATAGTTAGCGGCCTAGGTGATAACTAACTATGATGCAATAATAGTAATTCAGTAAATGAAGCTAAATCAAACTAAAAAAAATTAAAAAAAATAAGAAAAAAATGAACCAAACTACTGCAATACATTACAATATTTTCTAAAGTTTTAAAAAGTCTTTAAAAATCCTAATTATGTACACTTCGTATTGTTTTTTAGAGTTTTACAATAACTATCATTTGAAAAGAAAATTAAAAAAAAAAAAAATGGGTCAATCCGAGAGAGTATTCATTTACCACACAAAATCCTACCATACCTATCTAGTCGTCGCCGGACATTCAACACTCGGGCGCTCACCCACACCCCCGCAGATGCTCTTTCCATTTTTCCGTCTCTATCATCGCCAGACACCCACTTGTCGAATTACAGTCAGATTACCTTTTCAAATTTCAGTGTCATCGTCACCACCGTCGCTGGTTCCCTTTATTCGAGTAAAGCCTAGTTTCTGTGTTTTTGCCTTTTGGAACTATTCGCTTTCTTTTTACTGTGCATTTGGATTGCCCAATGCTCGGTTTGACATGCTCCCACTATCCTCTTCCACTTCAACCTCTCTCAAATTCGCTCCAAATCACTAACGCTTCAGAACTCAGCTCCAAACACTCATGGGTGGAATGCCTTCGCTCCCAAATCCGTTCAAATTCCTTCCGACAAGGCATTGCCACTTTTATCCAGATGCAAGAATCAGGCATTGTACCGGATAATTTTGCTTTACCTGCGGCCCTCAAAGCCGCCGCTTCCATTGGAGACTTTGATTTGGGGAAACAGATTCATGCGTCTGCCATTAAACTGGGCTATGGCGCTCACTCCATAGTTTCCAATACTCTCCTGCATTTTTATGGCCAGTGTGGGGACGATGTCCGTCAGGTAGTCAAGTTGTTTGACAAAATTCCTTTAAAGGACCAAGTTTCGTGGAACTCGGTTATAAACGCCTTGTGTAAATACGAAGAGTGGGTCTTAGCTTTAGAAGCTTTTAGGTCAATGGGTTCGGAGAGAGTTCAGCCTAGTTCGTTTGCTCTGGTTAGCATTGCTCTTGCGTGCAGTAACCTGGATAGGCAAAACGGCTTAAGGCTTGGGAAAGAAGTTCATGGCTATAGCCTGAGAATCGATGATGGGAGGACGTTTACAAACAATGCTTTGATTTCGATGTATGCGAAACTAGGAAAAATCGATGACGCTAAGAATGTGTTTGACTGTTTAGCCGACTGTGACTTGGTGTCATGGAACACAGTTATCAGCTCATTGTCTCAAAATGATATATATTACGAGGCATTGGAGTATTTCAGATTGATGAGTGATGAAGGGTTTCGGCCAGATGGGGTCACCATCTCGAGTGTGCTTCCTGCGTGTTCCAACCTGAAGTTTCTGGACCTCGGAAAAGAGATTCATGGTTATGTATATAGGAATTGTGATCTTCTAGGGAATTCATTTGTGGCTAGTGCTCTGGTAGACATGTATTGCAATTGTGAGCAAGTTGTCAATGGGCGCAGAGTTTTTGATGGCTCACAGGATAAAAAACTCGGACTCTGGAATGCCATGCTTGCTGGTTATATGCATAACGGGTGTTATACAGATGCATTGGTACTCTTCATGAAGTTGATGGTGGAGTCCGGTTTTTTTCCCAACCCGACCACAATGGCTTGTGTTTTACCAGCTTGCGTGCACGAAGAAGCCTTTGTTGATAAAGAAGCTATGCATGGTTATGTTTTGAAATTGGGCCTGTGGAGGAATAGATACGTGCAAAATGCATTGATGGACTTGTACTCAAGGATAGGGAAGATAGACGAGTCGAAATATATATTTCACAGCATGGAGAGTAAAGATGTTGTGTCTTGGAACACAATGATAACGGGCTACGTGGTTTGTGGCTACCACGAGGAGGCCTTGATTTTGTTACATGACATTCAGATAGGTGGAGTGAAAGATAACGAGAATGATGATGTTGATTGTATTAAACCTAATGCTGTGACACTAATGAGCATTCTTCCCGGTTGTGCTTCTCTTGCTGCCCTAGCAAAAGGGAGGGAAATTCATGGCTATGCCATTAGGAACAAATTGGACTCAGATGTTGCTGTAGGGAGTGCATTAATTGATATGTACACGAAATGCGGTTGCTTGAGCATGGCTGTTAGAGTTTTTAATACCATGGAGGTAAAAAATGTGATTACATGGAACACTATAATTATGGCTTATGGGATGCATGGAGAAGGTAAAGAGGCCATGTCACTGTTCAGGAGCATGGTAGCTGAAGGTGGGGAAGTGAAGCCTAATCAGGTTACGTTTATTGCACTTTTTGTTGCATGCAGTCATTCGGGGCTTGTTGAGCAAGGCAGAGAGTTTTTCCGGGAAATGGCAGTTGATCACGAGATCGAACCTAATTCCGACCATTACGCATGCATTGTTGACTTGCTTGGTCGAGCGGGTCATCTAGATGAAGCATATGGGATCATAAATTGCATGCCTCGTGGGGTTGATAGGGTGGGTGCATGGAGTAGTTTGCTGGGTGCATGCAGGATCCACCGAAATGTACGACTAGGAGAAATTTCGGCTCATAATCTGCTACTTTTAGAACCGAATGTCGCCAGCCATTATGTTTTGCTCTCGAATATATATTCTTCAGTGGGGCTTTGGGACAAAGGTAAATTGGTGAGGAAAAAAATGAAGGAAATGGGGGTGAGGAAAGAACCTGGGTGCAGTTGGATAGAATTTGATGACGGAGTTCACAAGTTCGTGGCTGGAGACAAATTGCATGCACAAAGTGAGCGAATTTATGAATTTCTTGGTGATTTGTTTGTGAGAATGAAGGAGGAGGGTTATGTTCCGGACACTTCGTGTGTGCTTCACGATGTTGACGAGCAGGAAAAGGAGAGTTTGTTGTGTGGGCATAGTGAGCGGCTGGCGATTGCTTTTGGCCTCCTTAATGCTCCTCCGGGCACGACTATTCGGGTGGCCAAAAATCTTAGGGTTTGCAATGACTGTCATTCTGCAACAAAATTTATCTCTAGAATTGTGGGTAGGGAGATTGTTGTTAGAGATGTGAGGAGATTCCATCATTTCAAGAATGGAGCTTGCTCGTGTGGGGACTACTGGTGATATTCGTGCTCGAATGAAATTTTGACGCAAGACCAGTGTAACTGATTCTTAGTATGAAATGAGATAAACACCTGTGTGAAATTAGAAGTTAGCTACTCAAGAGTACACTTGTAATCTTCTGATACATGGTTTATACTTGTGAAGAGAATCACCAACTTGGCATTTGTAATTGAGTTCTTTGATTCTTTTGGATGATTGAGTTGATATAGAGGGAGACAACATATGTTAATTAATGTCGCAAATCATTTAAAAAACATTTGATTTTTCTTTTTTTTTTAAAAAAAAAAAAGAAAGAAAAGAAAAAGAGAAAAAAGGTCCTATTAAAGTATGCAATTTTCGATGATCACACTTGTTAACTGCAAATTTTATAGAAGAGTTGTCAAAGTGCAAACTCTAAGGAAGAAGAAAGGGAGAGGGGCTGGAGAATTGAACATGCATTTTCTTTGCGGTTGTGCATTTTCTTGGCGGTGAGCGGCAACCTGCATCGGGGTGGTGGTGTGCGGCCGTCCAGTTGTTTGCTCCCCTGTTCGGCATGGCGCTTCTCCATTTCAATTGGTGGCCATCGTAGGTTTTGTCGAGGTTCCAGCAGCTCGGCGGTATGCTTGTCTTTGCCAGCGTGTCTACTATCATGGCGGTGGACGGGTCTGAGGTCTGCGTCGAGTGGGTCTCCCTTAGATCCTGTACCCTGTACGCTCATGGTGTTGGGGTGGGAGGGTCCGGCGACGGACGCTATTGCTACCTACGATGGTGGTCGGCAGTTGTCTCTGGTTCGGTGTTGGGGGTCCTTGGTGCTGGTCTCGCGGTGAGGTCTGGGATGGTTCCTTTGGGAGGAATTCTAGTTCGTCTGAACGGGATCAAGTTTGACTTTATTGTAGTTTCTAGATGTTGGCTTGTGTCGTGATTCTGTCCGTTGTGAGGGTGCAGACTCGTTTGGTGGTTCTAGGAGTTCTGACTGTCGATGGGAAGAGGTTTATTGTAGGTTCTAATTTGTTTTGGTTGCTTTATGTTTTATGTTTGAGTGTGGTGTTTGGTGTCTATTAGTGTTTGTGTGGTTTTGGTTATTTTTAGTCTCCGTTTTGGAGGTGTCATTCTCCACTCGTGGGAGTTGTTAGCATTCTCCACTTGTAGGGAGTTAGACGTGTTTTGCTTTTCTTCAGTCTTGTGGGTGTGTTTAGTGCAGTTGTTTCTAGGTTACCGGGGAGTTAGACTTGTTTTGTTTTTCTTCAGTCTTGTGGGTATGTTTAGTGCAGTTGTTTCTAGGTTACCGACGTGTCGTCGTGTAGGTCTCTGCTTGGATCTGACTGTATAGTCACTTTAGTCGTATGTCTTAACTGTTTTCACGATTGTAATTATGTATTTTTTTTAATTTATAAACTCTATCGTTATAAATAAAAAGGATTTGTGTATAACATCTTTTAGTGTCTGACATACGTCATTTATACGTGCATTTTATAGTGATTTGAGAGCCATTTTGTCGTAGTTTGAAATATAATTAATTAGGTATGTAATTAACTTTTATTAAGCTATGGTGAAGTGTGTTATTTTGAGTTTTAATGGGAAATAGGATCGAATTAAATTTTGGAATCGAAAAATGGTCGAAGGCGGTATGCGAGTAATGCATTGGGACAGAGCTCATTGGAATTAAAGACTATAGCCCAATAGCATGGCCCAAAGGCATTTAAATGAAGGGTGTATTTGTAATTCCATATATTGCATTTCTCCTTCTTTCTCACAACACATCTCGTCCGCCATGGCGCCATCATAGCTCCCGATCAGCCACCGGAGAGCCGCTGCTCGGACGACCTGACCACCTTTCTGACCGCCGCAACCATCTTGTCCCCATAAAGGCAGCCTGGACGTCAAATATGTGCCGGAAAAGCTACTATCGGAAGTGGTCGGCGAAAGCCAAGCAAGACCACCTCACCACTGCTCAGCCACCGAGCACCGGTCGCCGATTCTGTATAGTCGCCGTAGGATTCGCATGGAGAAGTAGAGGGATGCCATGCTATCGCCGGAGATGAGGATGTCCGAGCAGGTCGACAAGCTACTTGAACTTCGCGTCTATCACCCATGCTCTGCCATCCAGACGTCGTTTTAATCACCAAATTATGCCTTGGACGCCAGAAACTCGACCAGAAGCTTTGAATAGGACTGAAAACGATGATTTGGTGTTGTTTTGAACTCCTAGGTGTCACAGACCCGTGTATTGTATGACATGACTCATGTCGATCTGAAGGGTATGAAACAAGCTCTCAACATTGACACACGTCTCGTGTGACTTATGACACGAGTTGTGTGGGTCTGGGCGCGATTTACACGAGTTTGACGTATTTTTCCTATTTTTATGGTATTTTCGATTTATTTCAACTAGGATTAGACCCCACCTATTTAAACAACACTAGGGGACATTTTTTAGGGAGTCTTGGAGAGTTTTTCAGATTCTTGGGGACTTTTGGAGGCAAGGAATACACCCAAGTCGGGCGAGAATGCCGGGAAGAAAAGATCGACAAAGCTGAATAAACTTTTTCTTTCTTTTTTTCTTTTTGCTTTTTGAACTCAATGTTTTACATTTATTTTGCTGATTTTGGAAGCATGTTTCTAGGCTAAATTTATCTTAGATTGTAGGAATTGTTAGTATTCGAATTGATGTATGATATGTTTTTATTGCTTTCATTCCGGTTTATATTTCGTTTATGAATTTTTTGTGCGTATTTTGATTGTATGAGTAGACGACCGCTATGAATGATATATGTGATCGGTTTGAGACAGAGAGGAGATAATTGATTGCAAGATTTGGAAAATTTATAACGTAAGAGAATAAACAGACCGAGATGTTGAAAGTATCTTACGAGAGAACGAAAATCCTAGAAACGTATGGAGTTAGTTGTTCTTCTTGAGACTGAGAGGAGATAGATAGCAATTAATCTACGATTTAACTTGTTCGAGAGAAAGATTTAAATTAATTTAGCGATTATCTCTACGATTGGTAAAATTAAATAAGGTTTGGTTGAATTTAAACGTTTCATGAATTAACTATGAGGAACGCTTTACCTAGAATATATCTTTTATATCTTGATTTATTCTTATAATTTTAGATAAATTAGTTAATTTAATTTCTTAGTTAATTATCATAATCCAAATTCATTAGTCTAGACAATATGTAATCATCATTATTTTAGTATTTAATTAATTTAACTACAATCTCTATGGAATACGACCTTGCTCGCCGCTACCTATAGCTACGCCGTACACTTGCGGATAGAGGAAATAATTAGCGAACAAGTTTTTTGCGCCGTTGTCGAGGATTTTTTGTTAAATTAATTAATATTAGGAGAAGACGAGTAGATATTAGTTTAGACATTTTTATTTTATTACTTTTTTTTATTTTTATTTCTTAGACTCATTTATTTGTTCTTTTCTTGATTGTGTGTTTTTAGGTAGTGCATGATCACGAGGTCTAGTGGGAGCACACCCGCACCTTTTGATCTCGAGATTGAAGCCATGTGCTGAAAAATAACGCGAGTAGGAGATGATCGGAGACCGAGATGGTAGACCGTGAAGCACAACTTGAGATGATAACGCAACTCGAGGCGAGAATAGAGGAGTTGTAGTGTCATATGATGGCTCGGCAAGTGGAGAATGGAAGGAGATCTAGTTCGAAATATCTTCCAACCGAGGATGAATCTAACATAGGAGGAGGCCATGGACCAGGAATAGCTGTCAATATTTCGAATTACGCTCGGCTCTAATTCAGATGGTACAACAGGATCAGTTTGGGAGAGGCCCGACTGAAGACCCGATCGCGAATTTGGCGCAATTCTTGGAGATTTGCAGTATAGCGAAATACAACGGAGTCCCAGAAGATGCTATTAGACTTCTTCTTTTCTCCCTCTACGAGATAAAGAAAAGAGATGGTACAATGCAATTGGAGCCGATACGGTGACTAATTGGGATGAGATGCGTCAAATGTTTCTCTTGGAGTTCTTCCTACCGAGCAAGATGTTGAGGCTTCAGATGGAGATCACTCAATTCTGACAGCAAGATGGTAAGTCTTTCTACGAGGCTTGGGAGCACTACACGCAACTCCTTCGGACGTTCTCATTGCATGGTTTTTCGGAGGAGTACCAGATTTGCTACTTCTATAATGGATAGTAACCCGATGAAGGCCATGGTGGATGCCTCAGCTGGAGGCGCTCTCTTAGAAAGACGACCAATCGGAGCAAAACAAATTCTTGAGGAGATGGCGTTGAACAGCTATCAATGGTCGGCCGAGAAAACTATGCTTAAGAGGGTCGCGGCGACTAATGAGATGGACTCAGTGTCATCGATGGCTGCGGAAATAGCAGCATTGGTGCTTAATGCCCTCCACCGGGACGCATCATTCCAGTCAAGTGGTCTCTCGCGCATATCGCGTCCCTTTGGCTGCAGCGGGTCACACGCCTGAGCACTCTTGGCAGCATATTGTCGGGGTTCCCCGCATCGCGATGTCGGGTGGCCCGGGGCCGATCGGGTCGTCTAGGTCTGTTGGCCTCGGTGATCTCCCAGTTGATCCGCACACGATCACAATTGAAATAAATAAATTCACAATTTACATATTTTGATCCTAGACCCACGGATGGGTTTACATGTTCGTCTAATAAAGCGATAAACTCGGGCGATTAAATTATTACAAACATTCAACTAACATCCTCGACATGTCTGAAGCATTAAAAACCAAGCAACAACAAATCAAGCACATACGACCATAACAGTGGATTAAACTTATTCCTACAAAACTGAGTTACGCGAATATAATCCACTTTATGGTTGCCCTTGAACACACGGTGTCACATAAGCTGTAAAATTCAAAATTTGAACAAAATGAATTAACTGTGGGCTCTGATACCACTTGTTGAGACCGGTAAATATCATTGTCTATGTGCAAGTCACGAATTAAACTCTACAATTAAACTTATGCGCAGCGAAACTAAGGTTTAGCGTAGATAACTTATGACTTAAAATTTCACAGACTCTGAGATGCTGTATGGAGATCATCTAATTTTTCTTTGTCGAAAAACTAGCCTCGTCGGATGTCTCGGAGTCATTGGGAGATCGTGCGTTCGGGCTCGGTCGTGGTCTGGGGGCGTGCAGTGGTCGCGAGCCTGTAGTGGACGAGCGTTGGGGCCATGTACGTGTCGCATCGCAGCGTGCAGGTCGCCTACAGCTCTGCGCGAGGATGTTTCAGGTCGCTGGAGAACGGGAACGGGACTTGCAACGTGTGAGCTTCGCGGGTAGTCGCTGGGGCTGACGCGTGAGAAGGTCGTACGTCTCTGCTGAGGGAGCACGGTCGTGCTTCGGGTTGCTGGAGGCTTCGTCAATCTCGGAGCCTTTTGTCATATTATCCAACACCTCTCCGATTGTCATCGTGGGCAACAAGCTAGGAGATGAACTCGAGAGAACTAGGGACGACCGACTCGTGAGAGTTTATTTCATGATTTTTCTCTCCCAATCCCATGAGTTAAATGTGTTTATATTGGCTACAACAAGGACCTAAGGAGGTGATGATGTGGACTTCTTAAGTCTTGAGCCTAACTGTGAGTCAATCCCGCTCTGCTAAATGAATAAATAATGGTTCGGTCCACTAATGAAAACATTATTGCACTCCCTCATCATCTTTGAATCTATATATAATTACTAGCTGATGCATTTAATAAAACATTTAATAAAACCTATTTTCATTTTCCTCCAAAAGAAGTTACATTTTTTTACTAAAACCGTTACACCTTAATATATATATTTTATTATTTATTTTTTGGATCAGTTACTAAATTAATTATGAATTTGGTCGCAAAATATTCAAATGTGTAAGGGTTAATGTTGGAACTTACAGTTGATTGACACCTTCAGAGTTGTAACCGCTATATTTGGTTGCATTGTTGGAAGGAAAATATGATTGGCATACATATTTTTTTTTTCTAAAAATCAGAAACACCAGTAATTTTTTTTTATGTTAATTAACTTAATATATGCCACAAATATATAATTATTTTATTCATGTTACTAATGTAAATGTTGCACGGTTAAAATAAAATTTAAATCTCAATTAATTTTGAATGATAAAAATAACTTAAGAAAAAATAATAATTTTTATATGATAGAAGTGCATGTCTAATTAATAAAAACAAACAAAAACTTGTTTTATATTTTTGCAAATGCACATGATCAAATACTAGTTATATTCGAGACTCTAATTATAATTACCCGAATTACCTCCTCACGTTGAAGATATAATATCCATCAATTAATTCGATTACTGACAATCAAATTAATTGACATCTTGAATCGAAGCTAGTACCACTCAAACCATTATTATTATATCAGAACTTAATTCACCTACAGGGTGTAACATAATAATTCTTCATGAGCTCACTTCGGGGACATCATCAAATTAACACACATGATGACTTTAAATATTTGAATAACACACCATGCATGAAACATCACTACCCAACTTACCCAGATTATTGACCCAGACAGAATGAACCTTACCTTTTGGTGACTCAAAGTAGTGTCTACTACATACACGTGTCTGTTTATATTTTATGGGTTGAGAGAATGCAATAATTAACCAATGCCTGGTTCGTTTACGACGACCAGTATAAAACGGACTGCCCCTCTCTGAGATCTGTTCAATACATAAAGTGTACTAGTGCAACTAATCAGTCAAGACCAATTGTACAGTTGACACTACAATCATTCTAATGGTTCGTTCATTTTCATCTCGGTTGTGAACCAGTTATTTATGTTTTGCAAGTGACTGAAAAAATGATATTCTGTTTATCCGTGATGAACTATTTTATCTATGTGCAAAACAATAGAACATAGGACTTATTTAATTAAAGATTCTCATTCAACAGAAGTAGTGTAAATAACATCTAAAACCAAGCATTTAGTATTTAAACCAACAAGAACAAGCTCTTGCGGAGACATGTATTGCTTAACGTGCGCGGGTGAAAACATCTTCACTGTGTTCAACGACCTACGGCTGCACCAGCGGTCCTTGGCGTTGATTGGGTGGGTGCTCCGACCCATCTCTTGGGACCAGCTCTAATGGGGCACGCACCGACATCCCCTGAAGACGTAGACCCTTGTTATCGAGGCTCTTGATGACTCCTTGCTAACAAGCCACTCACGATGCGGTGCCGACCTGAGAGGTCGCGACAACAACCAAGTATCGTCACATCCCTTCTTTTTGTTAATTCCTTCTTTCTCTGCCATTGATATTGACAGAGATCTCGTGCAAATTGGGAGAAACACAACCTTGCTTTAAGCATTGAAAGATGAGTTCCCCACAGACTGCACCAATATGATAGGGATCTACCAAATAACTCCAGTTTTTTGTTATCGACCTTCTTTGGATCTCCGAATTGGTCTGGCTTGCTCACCATAATGCCAGAAAAAGCGTCGGTAGGGTTCCTGACGTAGACTCTCTGACGACCAAGTAAGTTTTCTCAATATGGAGAAATGTGCGTCATTATGTTTATTTAGAATATCAAATAATGAGAACTTTTTTTATGGCCCGACCTCAGTTCTTATGAATGAAAATAGTTACTTGTTGCCTGAAAATACATTATTTTGTTGTCCAAGCATATCTTGTTGTCCAAAATATCTTATTGCCCAAGAATATCTTGTTACCTAAAAGTACCTTATCTATTTAGGTCAATTCAAAGTCTTCCCGTTGAATAGTTCAACTTTTCCACTATACTAGCTCAATTAAATAGATCTTCAGACATGTAGGTCGTTAGGCCGAAACTTGACTAACGCTTTTTGGGAAACCAAACCAATATAATCGACCTGATCAACATGACGAACCTCGACTTATGTCGAGCCGCAGCCCGAGGGAGCTCCGTTCTACAAACGAGTTGTCTATGCTATATCACTAATGGTTGCTATTCCTCGAACACCAAACGAGTTGTCTATGCTATATCACTAATGGTTGCTAGTCCTCGAACACCTAACCCCAGCAAAGGTAATTAATTACTAGTACTAACTAAGCGTAATCGGAAGGAAAATTAGAGATGGTGCCTATACGTCACTAACCATATATGACACTCATCCGAGAGAGATTTACTTTCAGATCCATTGGTAGATCTACTGATTAATAATCACCATCTTTATTGTCATTGAAGATGTGTCTACACACCATCATTAATGACCGTGGGTTGAAGCATGAAATTTGTTGACGAGTGCAAAAACATCTCTCATTTCTCACACACACAATTGAGTATACGCTGTAAGAAACCAAATCATGAATAATTTCCATCGAAGACCAGATTTATTTTTCTTGACGACAATGATGATTGGTATGTGAAATTTCATAATAACCCAAGTCACAGAAAGTTGAATAAAGTAGAAGATAGAAAACTTCAAGAAATAAATTGCTATTTATTATTTAAAGTAGAGAGAGGGCTGTCCAGGCGAACCAAAACCCGGCACTCAGCAAGTCAATGTAAATTTACAAGGCTCATGAAGTCACATTACCCGCAATGTTAAAATATACAACTTCAACCCATCACGAATTCACAAGATGTAATGAGAACAAATATAATCCAAAACCGCATCACCCGACCAACCCCTTTCCCGAGAAACCATAAAATCCACTATTAAAATATCTTGATATTGATAACTCAATCGGCGCAAGCTCAGTTACGAATGGCGGCTCCAGATTTTTCACTTGGCAAACAATTGGTTGTTATTTTATTCTTTCCATTGCATAAAGGGTTTGGTACTAAAAGGATTTATATTTTCTACACCAAGGAGGCTTTCTCAGAGAAGGAACATGGCCTACCTTGCACTGGCTTTTCGGTTCATCAAGTCATGGTAGTATAGCAACACGCACATTGGTTGACCAACGATACAGAAAAAACACCAGAACATCATATTTCCCACCTGGAAAAAATAGTCAAGATGCTGCACATTATAAAAGATGGACAAGGCAAGTTTTTCTGTCATGATACAACCTAAAAAACAATGGACACTGACAAATCGCTACCCAATGTGTTGGGCTACTACAATAAAGAACAGGCCAACTGTGAAATTCCCCACAAGAAACAACCTTGACATTTATCTTACATTTTTCCCCACACTTAGTTGAGCTCATGGGATTTAGTAGTGTCATAGGATATATTCACAATTAGACCCCTCAACTCTCTAGCGTTGCCAATAAATCAGATTTTTAGCTTGGTTGCATGTGATATTTTAAGTTGAATACAACAAACAGTAAGATGGAAGCGAGAAGTTGGAGTTACTTTATTTTTAGAGAAGGATGTGATGTACAATTATTCATGACTTCAGCAATTTCCACTAGTTCACTAATGGCAGGTGATTTATGGAAAACATCGGGGTAATTTTGTAATTCTTCAAGTAAGCTGGTCTAGTAGGCTTTTGTTTCATAATTAGGGCAACCTACAAACAATTGTACGTAAAGGTCATAATTTGTTGTCCGGAAAGCCTATCCAACTATGTTGCACCAAGAATCAGGAATAAAGGGAATAAAACAAGGGTTACCATAGAAAATTGAAAACTAAATTTTCAAGGATATTGCAGGGGACAGATAATATACTTTATATGATAATGGTTACTGCTCTTATCTGCTCTATTCAGACTGTTACCATAAATTCTTAATAGAAATATGGTCCGCTTGAAATTCAAGGAGATGTTACCACTTCTCCAGTGAGAAGCTACTTCGCAAGGTGACTTCTTCATTTCTCTTGAACATTTAACCAAGAAAAAGAATAAGGATGCACAAAGATAGAAGAATCTTAAAATTTTCCTCTTTGATTACCAAAAAACCTTAAGTTTAACACCACAAAACAACTCCCTTTTCACAGTAGCCACAAGTTGTCCTGGCAATAGACTCAAATTAGTTACTATCTCCACTTATTCATCTTTCCGACACTGAAGTTTATAATTCTTACACTTTCTCTTCACTCCCGAAAGAAGCCATTTATATAGAAGTATTAGATCGTTAAGTATGAAAAGGCAATCAACAAAATTCAATAATTTCATAAATCTAACACGAAACTAAGCATAAAAAGGTCTGGAGAGAGAGGAAGAGACTACCATCGAATTTTGGAACTTGTTTTGCAAGAAATTAGTCACAATTACAAGGGGGACCTGTTCAACGACCAAAAATTAGACTGGATTAGAAATCAATCTTCTAATTTGTGATGAATAATGGAACAAACATCGAATGATTGACACCTGAAAATGTATTATATCTTTCTGTAGGTCAAATCTCATGTTCACTCATCATATCCAATGAATACAGACAAATTGTACGCAAGAGTTCCATGAAGAACTCAATGTTATCTTACAATTTGTTTAGGTTAAGTATTAGTCATATCATTTATGCAAATAAACAATACGTTTTGGTGAATTACTGGAGATATTGAACAAGAAAAACGAGAAAATGAAATAACACAACACTTCATTCGAGTTCAAGGGGAGAGTGGCAACCTACCGTGTAAAATATTATTGTTATGTTATTATACTTTCTTCTCGAGTTCCTATAATTGAAGTGGTATCCGTTAAATTGACTAGACCTGGATTAGTACATCAAGTTGCTATATCAAGATGCAAAATAAATTGTACAAAATGGTGCACATCACTGTATCTAATTTCTTTGAAATACAGAAAAAAAAAAGGGAGGAAAAAAATTACTTTTGTCTTCCGCTTTGGTAGGAAAGAATATGTGAGCCAGTTAGTTGTTTTTTATTAAAGTGATATTCTTGACTATCTACAAAAATATTAAATATTTTGTCACCTAACATGGGACTGATTTATAATCTAAGAATCAACTGAAGACTGCAACTTTATTTATCTAATTACCTTTATAGAATCATGGCAAAACCAAATAATTGTTTGCATATTAGTCACTCTTGAATTTCTTCATCACCATCAAGTTACAATATTTCTTAAAACAGAATTTATTGATCAAAGATCGAATATTAGTTACGAACATATAAAGAAGAACGAGACCTTTACATAGCCAACTGAAAGAGTGTAGCTCCTAAAAAAATGACATCATGTCATACTGGAAAATAAATGGAAATTGTTATACCTGAAACATAATACCGATGAATGCCCACAACTTGAACATGTGGCAAGGGACAGCAATACACAACTGTTTGACAAACAGAAACCACAATCATGAAGCCAAGCCCAGAATGAAATATTACTAAGTTGCATGAATCTGGACAACAGAAGGGGAAATAATATAATAATACCTCATGAAAAATAGCTGACACGAGGAAGGCAATCAAAACTGCAACTACCTGCATAAGAGACCAAACGAACATTCAGAAACAAAATGTTGCAATAAAAAAACAAACAATCAGTGCAAAACATCATCTGGTTGCAGTAAAGAGCTCAAACTGGTAAAGCAGCTTCGTTTATTTCTTACTATTATGGAAAGAAGAATGCTATGACTCAGAAGAGTGGCTAAACTCAAAAGACTGAATTTGTCCATGATTGGAGATAACAAATTTATATTCAAGAACTTGTGGAAGAGAAAACATGTGCACCATGAACCAACTTCATCAGCTTTTTCTACACATTTGAACAAATTGAGCACATAGCACCAAAATTTACATTCTTTCGATTCAATTTAACCACCTAAATCAATTTTTGCAATGATAAAGAGGTATTCAGTAAGTATCTGATTTATCAACGAAGTAAATATAAATCATAGCACCTAAAACAAAAAATGAGCAAGAAAAATAAAATGTAATCCTAAGAGACCTCTAGAGATTGTATTAGACCACTGACCAGGTCTCCTGCCATGACCAGAAGTTTACCAAAGAACGAGTTCTAAACGGCTGAAAATATCGGAAAAATATGAGAAAATACCTTTGGTATCCCATTCCGCAAGCATGGAAAGTATATATGGCGGACCATCCATTTATGGACTGGCTGCAACAGAAGAAATTTTAAATTCTCAGGAACACAGCACCGTGGCACGTGTTGCGGACATGAAATGACATTTCTGAATCAACACCCTTAGGCTATGTTTGGTAAAACTAGCTGATAAGCTAGCTGAAATTAAAAATTCAACTAGCTTATTTGAAAAGCTACCTAAAGTAGCTTATGAGATAAGCTCGAGCTTTTTAAAAAAGCTTGTCCTACCAAACGAGGCTTATTTGAATACAGGAAGCTTATAAGCTAACCAAATAAGCTGTAAGCTAACTTATTTGGCTTACCAAACATTGCCTTAGTAAAAGCTAACACAGCATGCCCCTATCTTCGATTCACATGTTATCTTATCTATTTCTCATTCCCACACTTCCCCGAACCCAGAAAAAAAAAAAAAAAATAATAAAAAAATAAAAAAAGACAAACCCAAACATCCAAGATATTATCTACCAGCTTCCCAAATTTTTAGAAGCTTGAGCATGAATTCTATCCAATGACAAAAGAAAATATTTTCTGGTCTTCAAAACAAACGTTAAACTGGAAAAAGATTGATATACAACAAATTAAGACTTAGGAATTGGGCATTAAATAAAGCATCCTAAAAGATAAACATTTGCGGTTCATTTGAATTTCTCTTATGATATGTCCTCTTTTTCACCTACATAGAACGACTTGTCTCAGGTCAATGCTATTGTCATAAATTACATTAGCAGATCTCATTTTTATAAGCTATAGCTCCATAGAAGAAAAACAAAAAAGATTTAGTTCCATAAAGTGGATCTAACCACAAGTTTCAAGATTTATGGTCTTCACATGAATCTGTTCAACAAACAAGTGCTCAAGCCCAGCCTCAGGTACACCTGTTACAAATTTTATTCTTTTTTCCCTGTCTTTCCTCGATTAGGATCTACTACTTCCTATTCGTATTTATTACGGGACGATTAACCAATTCGTTAAAATGAAAGACAAAAAAAGGGGTCAACTATCTTTACAACCATGAAAGGGAAATTTAAACATGAATGTAGTTCTTAAGTGATTCTTTTTTCCCTTGTGTCAATATATTTGAACTTACCATATTCCACATTCTCCAATACTGACAACAGTGACAGTCGCCCGATCAGCATATAATAGGAAAACAGAAAATTAGTCAGGCATGAAATCAGTTCTAAAAGAAAAAAGTCAGCAAAACAAATAAAAATAATAAAAATATCAGAGTATGATATTATACCTCCTCAACTGTTCTCGCATTCCACCAATCCTTATAGAACTCACGATCACCAAACCGTAGAAGTTCAGCGAGTATGTTTAGCCTATACCACAGAGACTATGATGAGAGCAATGCATTTACAAAGAAAAAAGGTGTTCAAGTGGTAAACTCAGTTCCCCAAATCGTAAACAAGCTTTACTTCAACAATAAATATAAATACCATTATATACAAAATTAAATATCTCATTCTGCCCATTTTTCTGCAACATAAAAGAGGAACCTATGTTACTAAGTCATTTTATTGACAAGCTCATCCCCTATAAAAGCAAACGGCAAGGTGTATTCAAAATTCTGTACCAAGTTCTAGATACATGTCATTAAACAAAAACTAGAAAGAAAATCGGAAAATGAAAATCAACCCCCTGTGATCCAATTATGTTTTCAAGCCACCACATATTACGTAACCTGGTTTTCCAGATGCAGCCAGAAATATAGCCAATCATGAACTCTGTATTTTCCTAGAGATCAGAAACTATATTACTGCCAGCTGTAGCAACTCCCAGAATCAAAGTATGGAAAAGGTGTATTCAAGCTTCTGTACCAACTTCTAGATATGTCATTAGATAAAACTAGAAAGCAAGCCTGAAACGAAAATCAACCTCACGTCACCTAATTATCAAGCTCCTACACATTACATAACCTTGTTTTCCAGATGCAGCCAATTATGAACACTATATTTTCCTGAAGATCAGAATCTATTTTACCGCCAGCTGAAAGAACTCCCAGAATCCAAAATATGTAAGAACTTGTCCCCAAATCACCAAATTACCTACCATCTAGACTACCATGCAGATATTGCACAATACCCAGTAGAATTAGTATATGAACAAGTTCTCAAATAACAGGACAGGCAACACATAAATAAAATATATTCCATCAATACACTATCTTGTGCTATAATACTTATGGAACTGAGCAAAGAAGTTACTAAACGAAATGACAATTATATTCCATCTACTTCAGAGCGAGAACATACCAAAGGTGGAAAAAACAATAAAACATGCAGAGCCACACATATAAATTTGGAACTGATAGCTTCAAGACCCTCTCGACGGCATACAAAAGGTTTCCTTTCAAAGGATGTTGCGAGTTCTGTACGATTGGGTTTATATACTGCATATGAGGCCAAACAATATCAATTAAGTTACCAAAAAATATGAAAAACCAAGTCAATGAAGAAATCAGAAGTCACCTGTTCAACAATAAATCCCATAAATCCTGTAAATATCACTAATTTAATGAGTTGGCGTACCACCCAACCCTTCCGAATACATGATGTACGAGGATAACTTGGCTACAAACATCAAACAATAATCAGTCAAGTGTTGAACTTCAGTAGTTTACAGTTGTAAGAATACATCATACATCACTCACTGGTGGAAGAACAGACCAAAGAATATAAACCAGCATCAGTATTGGATTACTATGAATGATTTTTTAATTCTCCTTCTTCATATCAATAAACAGAAGCTGCTGGGAAGGGCAAGAACTTGGCAATGACAACAGCAGGTTTACACTCGTACAGTTGGAAGTGGCACATTTACCATGTTGCATTATAAAATATCAGAATTTGTAATTGTCTCTGATGTAAAGTACGAAACAAATGTTTTCATTCTTGACCATATTATCTGAATAGAGATTACTAACAATATATTTGCTAACGCCACAAACATCAAGTATCCGAAATGTCAGTAACAGCAACCTGCGAAATAATCTTCTTCACAAGTGCGGTTTACAAATAGGTAGATTGACAATATCGCCAATGTATATATCTTGCTCAAATCTAACACTTCATGCATCATTCTGTTTACCATTTATGCAACATAAACACGCATGTATCTTCAAGCATCTGTGTCCATGATACTGTGGAAGCTTTAGACATACAATATATTTATTCAAGAATTTTCAAATGATAGCATATGTACCTGGTAGCACAGTGTAGGAGCAACTATGAAATATACCAGACTCTTGAAGCTAATATCATATGAGTAGTCCATGTTCCAGTAACTAGATAATGCTTCCCACTGACATCAAGAGGAAGCTTGTTATTAGAAACTGCACGAGCTTGACAACCTTTGATCAATAAAACTATGAATAGATATGGTTAAACATAAATAGTACACTGCAAACCAAGAAACAACTTAAAAACGCTGCTTCAGTATACAGAAAAAGGGACTATATTTTCCAAATTAAAATGCACACAGATCCCTAACATAAGATAGCCAGTTCAAATTTTCATTTAATATCAACAAAGGATGAAATCCCACGAAGGACAACTGAAAATCAGGGGGAAAAAAACAAGTTTATTTGAGAAATTATGATTCTGAAAGAGAAAAATCTTAAAAGCCCTAGGGTTGGCTCAATGACGAAATGGCCTAACCCACTCCCAATCCAAACAATCCACAAGAGAGAAAAACTCCTCATTACCTTATCAAGTGACTTTGCAAGCACCCTCAAGTCATAATTTGTATGAGCATAGGAAACCAACTTCAACCACACAATGCAAGCAAAGAGCATTAGGGTCACTCCTGACAGAACGGCAGAATCACACCTGTGCAATTCCGAATCAGAAAAACAGCGTCAAGATATAATGTACGGTGCCTAACATAGTTACATTTTCCCAACAACATAATTACTAAGGTAATGTCCTCCAGCAATGACTTTTGAACAATAACATAGCTTCTCGTATTCTGTCGTGCAATCAACTTACGGAAGATGCCGTCAACAAATGCAAGTTTGTTCTTCATGTAACATATTATTACTATCCTTCGGCATTTAAACAGGTCAGGAACTAAATAAAATAAAACTGTGAGTTTGTTCTACTCCTGATAATTCCAGTGTTGGCAGGCTTAATGTTATTTTAAATCCTAATTAATTCACAGTTAGCATCAAATTTCCATCTTATGCATAAAACCGTAAAGTCCAAAACGGAGTAAAGCATACATATTATGACCACCCAAACTTCATTTCACTGCAAGAAAGAAACTGAACATCAGTATTTTAAATCAAAACCCATAATTCTCACGAGTGTGCACCATTTTCTAACACATTCGAGGATATTTTTTTCTCGATGAGAGAAAGACAAGTCAACTTCCTTTTCTTAGTTCAATACGCAGTTTAAGAAATACAATTCCACATTTTCTTTCGCATATTATCAGTTGTACAGGATATTCTTATTTCATAGTACGCACAATGCACTGATTCATTTCTGTCATACATACTAACAATAAATTGACTAATATAATCCGCGAAACAACCAAAATGCAGCTGTGAGAACCAAGGCAGTCTCAAAGAACACAATATCGATAATTAAAAAAAATCAAATGAGCAACAATGGTATTTCTAGGTAAACCAACTTCAAAGCATTCTTTACCCACATTATAGCAATCACCATTCAAGAAACTGTCATTTCACAAGTGCACCCCTAACTTCTCTCAAAATTGTATCTTTCATGACATCTGACATCACATTCACATTCACCTTATCTAGCTGAACTTTTGTCTAAATAATAGTGAATATGAACTCTTTTTTAACTAAACAGAACGAACACTGTATGGTTGAAAAACAACCAAATCAACATACTAGTTAGGAAAACATAACATTAAGATAGATACTGGTATTTCCATTCAATTCTCAGGACTAAACTAGAATTTGTAAGTCCAAATCCAATTGCATCCTCATTTACAATAAAATCTTCATAAACATGAAACCGTGGAGAACATGACAAACAAAATCAGATTGAGCAAGAAACTATCTTAAAATAGTCAAGACATACCTAAGAATGACGACAACGGGATACAAGATTTCAGTCGTCGTTATTACAACATGAAGAAAGACAGCAACCTGCAGATTGAGTAAACTTGAATTCTCGTGTATGAAATTTTATTTCATTATTCAAGCACCAAGTTCACTAGCTGCACTTGTATCATTAATGAGACGGAGAACCAAACTAGAAGCTTATGCACATAACGGATTAGACGAATACTTCACAGGAAATCCTAATAAAATAGATTAATAGGTACTCAGATAGAGTGGTAGCTAAATCTCAATAAATATACAGTTCATTATCCTAAAACTTGATAAAGCCCAAAGTTTAGATTATCTGAATCAAATCACTTATTACTCAAAATCTTGAAAACCACACCACATTATGATTCCATGATACGCATATTCTTTAAGTCATAAATATTGAACTAATATCAGGGTTTATAATTTGAATCACAACTCCAACAGTAAGCTAATTTTCACTGAATATATAATATAACTATATAAGTTAGAGAACTCAATTCAATGATATGTGAAACGAGATATTCCAAAATCATGACAACATTGCCCAACTTAATAGGACTATAAAAGAATTATTTCTCTCCATTTTGCTACTCCAGTCAACTCTTTATCAATGTTATCTTACGAATATCTTCAATAAAATTTATACACCATGGTTAGGTAGATACTCACTTAACATCATCGTGGCAAATTTTCAACATATCCACCATCAAGAAGTATTTTTGGATAAACAAACATTCAGTCCTTCTGCATTGAAACTGAAAACAAAAGGTGACTTTTACATACCCATTCATGTATATACTTTTGTTTCACCAACTTCTCAACAAGAAATGCAGCAAGTGGGAATACTGGAAGACTTACACTGCAAAGAAAAATAATGGTAATAGTTAAATTGTTAAGAATTTATTTTACTGAAAGTTAATGCTCTCCCACAAAAACAAAGATGACAACAAGTAGTCCAAGATGCATTTACCAACACATGAAAAGTGGCCAATCCCTCAGTGATTTCGAACTAAACCAAAAGCCTGCTTTGATCAGCCAGCCATACTGCAGGCCAAGTATAAGATTAGATACTCTGTGGCAGTGCCATATATATTTCATCTAAACATGGAAGCACTTTGGTGCTTAAACTCAACTGCCAACAATAAAGTGATAAACACACTGAATACATCTGCATCTTAAGATTTGCTAAACATGCAAACAAAGGTACTTTAGAATTTTGCAGCACTAGCTAATATGAGATACTCCAGCTGACAGCACTAAGAATAGTCATATCTTTTTCCCAAAGATATAAGACAATAATTAGGATAGCAGGCACACCTTCATCAAGTTTTCAATGATAAGCCGGCCATTTACAGCAACAAGCACCACTATACAGAGGTTGAAGAGACCTGCATGGCTCTGCCAGAAGACAAAAATCAATTGTGATATCATATATTATCCCAACAAATTACAAACCAATCCTGAGAAATAACATCTATCTCAGGATCAAGTTCAACATCTATAATCAAAATCATACCAACATAATTCTGTATAGACTACAATTTTATATAATCTGATGTCTTTCCCTAAATCATATTTATCAGTTAGAGAAACATACTCAAAGAATAAAAAACCACTACTAACACAAAACATCATTCGAGTACATTACCAGCAAAGGTTGGGCCAAACAGTTTCATAACAATGTACATATAGCATTTTAATCTAGAAAAAGAGATGGCAATGTCACTCACAGATTCCATATAAATACCCGTGATGTCGAACACTTGCTTTTGTGTTATTAATGCATGCTATAACAAAAGTTTCAATAGAAAATTGGATTTCGGAAAGAAAGTGTCCAAATTACAATGGTAATAAAAAGAGCATCAAATAATATTTAAACCCTCCACTCTCAACTTCATCTCCACCCCCAAACCCCTAAAACGATGCCATTTGTATCCGAAAAAATAGAGAGAGACTTCCAACAATGTCAGTAACTGACATACCTTGTATACAAACAAATTAAATTTACAAACAAGTAGAACTAATAAAACAAAAAAGTTTTGCAGCCACATTTCCAACCAACAGCAAGCTTTCTATGTTTCAATGGTTTGATAGGGGAAAAACATAAATTTCAATTCGTCCCACAAGCATAAAATCCACATAACATAACGAGTTCCCCAGAATTCATTACCAAGAGATTCTATGAAAACAAGAAGGGCAGAAAACTATCCTGTACGATTCAATCAGATACCTGCTTAAAGATTGCGTCGGAACTCAGAGGACTTTCCTTGATCCGGCGGTGAGCTGGCGCCGACGGCCTGTACGCAAATTTGACGGCCAAAGCGTCCACTCCTTTGCCATCACCTTCCTTCACTTTCTCCGCCTCGCCCTTGCCACAAGTGAATCCTTCACTTCCCGTTGCCGCTTCCCGCTCTTCGTTTGACTCAATAGCTCCTCCACAGAGCTTCGCGGCCGAATTAGCGTCACTTTGATATCGTTCTCCGTCGTTTACAGCGGTCTCGCCATCGAGGGAGCTGGAATCGGACTCGAGAAGTGGCTCAACAGACCGCGCGCTCGGTCTGCGGCGCAAAGTGGTGGCGTGGTCGCGACCGTGGCCATTTTCAGCGCTGGACGACGTCGTGTCCAGACTCTCCGGCGACTCCAATATCGCCATTGAGCGGAGCACCGAATTCTAGACCGAGGTGCAGTGGAACAACGTTTTTCTTCGCCAGAAAGATGTCGAATCGGATTTACGATGCAAATTGCGGAAGAAGAGGAAGATTATCAAAGCATAAATACTGTACCATAAAATGTGAATTAGAATTAGAAATAATTATAAGATTTAGGCGGTTTGCTTGATGAGACTATGATGTGATTTGCGTGTGCTTTTTACGGGCAACGGGCAATATATTATTATTAGGTATTAACAAAACGGAGTTCCCTGTCCCTGTGGTAGTTTCCGAATTAGCACAGACATCATCACAATATTTGGCAAACATAATCTTAATTTCCTCAAGGTTCTTATTTTTTAAGTCTACCTACCCCGATTCAAGATTTTGTGGTTTTCAAGTTTGACTAGTATTCTGACATTCTCTTTTTGTTTATTTTTTTTTTTAAGACTATTAAGAAAAACTTTTGTCCAATTCTATAATCCACATTGAAATTACAATCTATCTATATCTATATCTATATTTATTTATTTATATATATAATAAGAATAATCATTTATTAAAAATAGTAACAAAAAAATAGGGCAACATTTAATGCAATCCATAAATAACAAGTTTTATTATTTTTTTATTTTATTCTTTGAAAAATCATACACCATTAAATACTACCTTAAATTTTCGGCTCTAGTTCATTTTATTATTTAAAAATTCTGGCTAAGATCTATTAAGTGTGTATGTTTTATTTTTATTTTTTTTTTCTTAGAAACGAACAACAATAAAATATCGGTCTCTATATTTATGAAATATCAAATCAAAAAGGTAACAAAAGTTTTAGAATTTCGGTTTTATATTTGTGCCTTTCAAAAAAATATACTGAACCCTAAAAATATTCTTTAAATATCATCTTCCAGAAATTATGACAATTTATTTATTTGGATCATGTGATAATAAACTTGGTAATGCTTATCAATCTATTGGTTTTTTAAACTCGATTTCAAAAGGTAAATAATTTTCAAAATCTCAGTCTCAATAGCTTTGCATTTTAAAAAATAATAATAATGATGATATATATTATTTGTTAATAATACACGATTTTAAAAACTCCATTATAAATTATATCTTGATATCCAAATTATTTTATAATTGCAACCGACTTTATTAAATCTCCACGAAAATATGGTAAAACAAAATGAGATGATCAACTTTGTATGAAAATAAAATAAAATCAATAAATCAATATGAAGTTCGCAATAAATGAACATAATTAGTAATTTGAATAGTACGCGGATCTCAAAATTAAAACTCACATGAATTCTAAAATTCAAACTTATATTTATCATCATCTTTTGGAAATTGAATAACATATAGTAGGCAAGATTTTTTTTAAACTAATTAAAATATTAACTACTATCATAAAATCGGTTAGAATCTTAAGATAAGTTAAGAGTCGATTTCAAAACTCAATTCTTCGAGATAAACACTTATTTATATTGGCAGTATCATCTTTTTCAATAGTACACAAAGTTTAAAACTAATACGCACGTGGATTTTGCAATTCAAATGTATACTATCATCAACTTTTAGAAATCTCTCTCTCTCTCTCTCTCTCTCTCTCTCTACATATATATATATATATATATAGGGATTGGTTCCAATGCATCTCATTATTTAAAGTGAGGACGTGAGACTTATTCCTAGCCACAAGATTTAGATCTTGATTTAAATAATAATTTTTTATTTTTATTATTTAATTCTTTATTTTTAATTATTTAAATATTATTGTGACCATTGACCGTTGACTCCGGCGTTGACCGTTGACTTTCGGCGTTGACCGTTGACTCCGGCGTTGACTTCCGACGTTGACCGTTGACCATTTGTCTTTTGTTATGTTATTTCTTTCTTGTTAGGTTAGTTATGTCTTGTTGCTAGGTTAGTTGTTTGCTGTTGCAAGGTTAGTTATTTGTAGCTGCTATGTTAGTTGAGTTGTCTTTTGTTATGTTATTTCTTTCTTGTTAGGTTAGTTGTGTCTTGTTGCTAGGTTAGTTGTTTGCTGTTGCAAGGTTAGTTATTTGTAGCTGCTATGTTAGTTGAGTTTTGTTGCTAGGTTATTTTTTTCTTGCTGCTAGGTTAGTTGTCTTTTGTTGCTAGGTTATTTCTTTCTTGCTGCTAGGTTAGGTGTGTTTTCTTGCTAGTTTAGTTGTTCTTTCTTGCTGCTAGGTTAATTGTGTTTTGTTGCTAGGTTAGTTGTCTGATGCTGCTAAGTTAGTTGTGTTTTGTTGCTAGGTTTTTTTTTTTTTTAACAAACAACGCCCCGGAAGGGCGGGGGATTGGGTTGGATCCCCTACCTGTGCATAGATCAGGGCCCCAAAAACGGGAGCCCAAAATGTCAACGAATCAGATACAGAGGTCTACTTTGTCTGAAAGTCAAAAACAAAAACAAAAGAAAACAAGAAAGAAAAACCGAAAAATGAGAAAAACTACATAATAAAGTCGATCATCGGGCTAACAGATGCCCGAAAAAAGTCTATAATAATGAAAATAGAAATCCTATACTAGTGAAAGCGGAACGCTGGGTATCCAAGCTGGTCCATCCGTACAAGAGTGCGAAGGCGGAGTGGAGCAGTGTCGGTCTGGAATGTATGTGTGCCTGGTGTGGTGGCGCCAAGGCTGGCCAGGTAATCAGCCGGTCTGTTCCCCTCACGGAAAATGTGCGTGATCCTGTGATGGACTGACTGAAGTAGGTCTCTAATGCGCAGGAGCGGGTGCTGAATCTGCCACGAGCCCTGATGACCCGAAGTCAGGAGGGTGGTGACAGCCGCAGCATCCAGCTCGATCCATATATGACTAGAGATGTGGGCAGCTATCTGAAGGCCAATCTGTAGTGCCTGAATCTCTGCGTCGTAGCTCGAGGAGGCCTGAATAGACGCGTGAAAGGCGGTGATGAGGGCGCCGCTATGGTCCCGAATCAAGCCTCCTCCTCCGGCAACTCCAGTGTGGCGATCGAAGGAGCCATCAGTGTTCAGCTTGACCCACGGAGAGTCAGGTCGAATCCAAACAACAGCTCTGGCCCGAGGAGTCCGAACAGGCGGTGGTGGGGCCACCATATAGCGCTGCGGTGGCGTGCAGCCTGTCCAGTCTCGGGCCGTGAGCCTGCCCAATGAGATGAGGAGTGAAATGTGTCTCTCAACCTGCAAAACAATGTGAGAAAACATAAAAGTAATATCCCTATGCTTCGCACTATTCCTTTCTGTCCAGGTGAACCAAAGGATCAGACAAGGAATGAGGAAGCCCACGTGTCTAAGGTGTGTGCTATGTGAGAAAAAACTCAGGAGCTCAAAAAAACTGTATGTGGTGGGTAAGGATATATGAGTCCAAGTGGCAAAATGCTCTCACACTCTCCTCACAGTCTCACTCTCTAGAAAAATGTGGGTAAAGGTCTCGGTCTCATGACGTCCAGTCTCAGAACAACACACACACCGAGAGGGGAAGGAGATCCCCCTCGCGTGTAGCACAATATCGACGGGTATCCGGCGCAAGAGGAGGCGCCAAAGGAATACCGAAATAGTAGGCGTAAAAAGGTCACTCCAGATAGCCCCGAAAAGGAGATTAGGCCGATCCCTCAGCCTTATCTGCTCCCAAGCCAAGGTAGTAGAAAACACACCTGATGATGTAAGTCTCCACCTCATGCTATCTGAACCGTCCCCCGAGATAGGGATCTGCTGGATCTGATCTAATAACTGCTTGCTAGGTTAGTTGTCTTTTGTTGCTAGGTTATTTCTTTCTTGCTGCTAGGTTTGTCTTTTGTTGCTAGGTTATTTCTTTCTTGCTGCTAGGTTAGTTGTCTTTGTTGCTAGTTTAGTTGTTCTTTCTTGCTGCTAGGTTAATTGTGTTTTGTTGCTAGGTTAGTTGTCTGATGCTGCTAAGTTAGTTGTGTTTTGTTGCTAGGTTAGTTAAAATTGTAACCCATAGGATTTGAACCTGGTACCTCATGGAGGTAAGACAAGCAATGCAACCACTACACCACTCAAGGTTGAGTGTCTTTTGTTGCTAGGTTATTTATTTCAATACAACGGGTCAACGCCGGAAGTCAACGATTATCGCCGGAAGTCAACGGTCAACGCCGGAGTCAACGGTCAACGCCGGAGTCAACGGTCAACTATTTTATTATTTAATTAATGTATATTTTAATTGATTTTGATCTAGACAAAATGAGTGGATAAGATTGAGTCTCACGTACTCATTTTAAGGAGTGGTCTCATTGGATCCATCCCCTATATATATATATATAAAGAGAATAACTATTTTAACAGTAAGCAATAATTTCAGGCAAAATTAAATACATTCTAATTCGGGATTTTTTTTTTAAATTTTTCTATTTTCCTTTAACAACAAAATCTGGCAGCATTTAGTGTTCCCATCAAAATTAGGTATTGTTCAATTAAAATCCAAAAATTGCGGCTATGAATATTTCATAAAATTTTTGGACCGATAATCATTTTGGACGGATTTGCCAATCATTCCTTTAATTAAGGATTTTGTTCAACTTAAAATTTCAAAGTATCGACTTCAAAATCTGGTGTATATCAAATTGTATGCATTTCAAAACTCAAAAACACCAATGCACATGTTTTTTAGATATAAATATTTTTAAAAACATTTGGACCGATTTTTTCCATCACTTTGGACGGATTTTCCAACCATTCCTTAAATTAATGATTGTTCTTCATTTAAACTTTCAAATATCAACTTCTTTTTTTTTTCGGAACGATAGAGATTTTATACAAAGGCACAAATGTGCAAAAGTACAACCACCAGCTAAAAAGACGCAGCCACCAGCTGAATAAAATTGGGAGGACAGGTCGAAAGACCGCCTAGAACCGACCCTAATAGGGTAATACCATAGCAAGACAAAGACACAACACTAAAACAACCCCAACAGGGTAATGCCCGAGTGTGTGGTGCCAACAGGATAATGTTCACACTCGGGCTAACCGAGGCCAACAGCCCAAACCAAAAACACAAAAACTAACACAATCACCAACACAAACCACAAAAACCAGAACAAACAAATGAAAAACACTAGAAACAAAAACAACTACACGCTAAGAGCACAGCCTCCCCAGCAGAAACAACCGAAAAGAACAGCAGACAAAGTCGATTATGAGGAGAGCTCCGAAGCTCCGATACCACGCCCACCACTGCATAAGGCCTAGCAAGACAATGACCCAAGCCCCAAAAAACAATCTGAGAAACCGACCCGCACTCCAGCCACAAGAAGCCACCATCTTCCCCCAACCGTCTTACACCGTTAG